TTTGCTTTGATTTTCAGCATTTTCTCCATAGAAGCAGCACACAAGAGAGGATATGATACCTTTGGCATTCAACTTTTCAGCAACAGGGAGGGAGTTGTGGATGCATCTCCAAAGGAAAACTTTGAGTTTTGGTTTCACCTTCAACTTCCAAGTAGTTGACCACATTTTTCTCATGATGGTTGCTCCTTTGCTGGTCTTTGGGAAGTCTTTCTCCAACCTCTTTTTTTCAAGAATAAAATTGTAGCATGATTTGACAGAGAAGTGGCCACTTTTTTCCCCAACCCATATGAATTTGTCTCTGTTTTCAGCTGCATTTAAAGAGATATTTAGAATTTCAGTGGCCTCTTTATCAGAGAAAATTTGATAGATAAGATCTTCATTCCACTCTTTTTTATTCTGCAACATCAAATCACTGCCCCACTTATGAATTCCTGCCAGTTCTTCCTTTAGGTCTGAAATTTTCTATGTTTGGTACCCAAGGTGTCTCCCAGATTCTAATGTTTTTACCATCACCAACCTTCCAGATTCTAATGTTTTTACCATCACCAACCTTCAATCGAAGACCAAAAGAAAGTGCATCTCTGGCTTTAACCCAGCTCTTCCAAACCCATGAATTATTTGACTTTATTTTAGCATTCAAAATACCTCCACGAGGAAAGTATTTTGCTTTCAAAGTTTTGCCCATCAATAAGTTGGGTTTTGTAATCAATCTCCATAGCTGTTTAGCCAAGAGAGCCTTATTAAATGCCTCCAGATTCCTAAAACCCAATCCTCCCTGATGTTTAGCAGCACACATCTTGTCTCAGCTAACCCAAGCTGATTTTTCAGAACCTTCCTCTGCTTCTTCACTCCACCAAAAACTGCTGGCTTTACTGTTAATGTTGTCACACACCACTTTTGGGAGTTTGTAGCAGGACATGATATACACGGGTAAGGCATTAATGACTGATTTGATCATAGTCTCTCTTTCAGAAGCACTTAGAAGCTTCCCTTTCCAATTCATGATTTTTGAGTGGGTGACTTCTTCAACAAACTAGAATACCTCCCTTTTGGATCTGCCGATCACCATTGGCAAACCAAGGTATTTCCCTTTTTTCTGTTCTTGCATACCCCCGAGAAGCCTGCATATTTCTACACTTTTTGCTGGTTCACAATTCTTGCTAAAGAAGCAGGATGATTTTTCAAAATTCACCTGTTGCCACGAAGCCTCACAATATTCATGAAGTATCTGCAACATACACTGGATCGAGTTTGAAGAGGTGTCACAGAACAATAAAGCATCGTCAGCGAAGAACAAATGTGAGATTTCAAGGCCTTTTCTACATATTCTGATTCCTTGAATCTTTTTCCTGTAAATTGCTTGATTCAGAAGATTAGACAAGGCCTCGGAGATAAGAATAAATAGATACGGAGAGATAAGATCGCCTTGTCTTATCCCTCCGGACGAGTTTACAAAACCACATGCTGCTCCTCCTAGGTTAAAAGAGAAATTGACAGAACTGATACAGCTATAAATCCAGTGGATAAATTTACCATCAAAACCCATCTTAGCCATGACAGAAACCAAAAAAGTCCACTCCACTCTGTCGAAGGCTTTGGCCATATCAAGCTTTATGGCCACAAATTTATTTTTTTTCCTTTTCTGAGATTTTTCAGAAAGTGAAGGTATTCGTGGGCAATCAAAGCATTATCAGGAATTTGCCTACCCGGAATAAAAGCCGATTGGTTAAGACTAATACAAGAGGAAATAACAAACTTAATTCTACTAGCCAAAATCTTGGGTATTAACTTATAAACAACATTCAAAAGACTAATGGGTCTTTAGTGGGCAATTTTGGTGGGGTTTTTAATTTTTGGGATCAGAGTTATCAAGGTATGGTTCACACACTTAGGCATTTTGGCACAATAGAAAAAATCAGAAACAACTTCAAAGATGCAACATTTAATTTTTTCCCAAGAGAATTGATAGAACAAGGAGGACATACCATCAATACCAGGCGCTTTGTTAGGATTCAGCTAAAAAAGGGCCTTCTGAACCTCTTCCATAGTCACTGGTTTTGTAAGCTCTTTGTTCTGACAAGTGATGGATTTGGGTAAGCCTTCAAGAATTTGATCTCTAGCCACTGCCTGATTAGAACTGAAGAGCTTTGAATAGCAGTCCACAATTTCTTCAAGCACCTCTTCTTTGGTATTGCATTCTCTGCTAGAGGAATCATTTATAAGTTTCTCAATAGCATTAGTTCTTCTCCTTTGCACAGTGCATGCATGAAAGTATTTTGAGTTTCTATCTCCTTCTTTTAACCATTGCACCCTTGATTTCTGTTTCCAGAAATTCTCTTCTGTCTTGTAAGCTTGCTTAAGTTTCATGTTCAATTCTGCCCAGGATTTCCAATTTTTCTTTCCTCCCAGCTTCATTAATTCCTCCATTCTGGATGTACAGAAGGTTATTGTTTTTGCAGAATTAGGGGTTTCCTTCTTTTGCCATTTGAGTAAGGCCATTCTGCAATTAGTAATCTTTCTCTGGATTCTGACTAAAGGAGTCCCTTGGACAGGAGTGTCCCAGGCTTCTGCAATGATTTCTTTTATGCTTTCCTTCTTTATCCATCTCTGATCAAAGATAAACCGCTTTTTCATTCTTCTTTTTTCTGAATTGGAGTTCCAGAGAATCATGTTGTGGTCTGAGGATTGTCTAGGTATGTGGAGAACTTCAGCTTCAGAGAATTTTAGGATATTAAAGCTCTTTTGTTAATACAGTAGCTAAGAATATTAAATTTTTGAAAGGATGGTATTGTAAAGATCCGGTGGGAAGGAAAGGTGGGCTTTTTGTCGGCTGGGGTACTAATATTACTGTTCACAATTGTTTTTGGACTGATTTCTGTGTGGAAGTGGAATTTAGTTTGTCAGACTGTGATGAGAAATGGTGGGTAATTTTTGTTTATGCCAGTACAGATGCCAATGTTAGAAAAGATCAATGGGACTTCCTGTTGAAGGCCAAACCAAAGTGGGGGATTAACTGGTGGCTAGGAGGAGATTTTAATGACATAGTTGGTCATGGAGAAAAGAAAGGAGGAAGGATCAGGACCGAGAGGAGTTTTGAAAGTTTCAGAAACTTCATAAGGGATATGGGCATGAGTGAAATTTCTTTTAAAGGTTATCCCTTTACTTGGGCAAATAACAGGAGAGGGGAAGAATTTGTAGAAGAAAGGATTGATAGGTGTTTTGTGTATCCTCAATGGATCCTAAAATTGTTTGATTAAACTTAATTAAAGTGTGTTATTTTGAATAAATTATGCTGAGTGAATAATTTTGAACTACTTTGAATTCCGTGCACGGGTGAGAGATATTCATCAATATTTGTAAATTAAAAATACTCATTAAATAATAATTGTACATTAAAATATGAAACCAATATGTAATACAATTTATCTATATTAATTTATTTAAGATGTTATATTAAATTTAAGTTGTGCAAAATTACATAAAACATGTCTATTTAAAATTAATACAAAACTCGTACGGTGCACATAACTGATAATAAATTACATTATATTATCTGCAAAATACGTGTCATTTTATATATTGCAAAGTAATATCTCAGCACACGATTTTTATTTGTAAATTGGTATGTATCACATATTTGGCAAATTAAATCTTTATATACAGATTGGTTATTTTGAATATCTCTAGATACATATAAAATATAAATTCGAACATCAGGATTAGTTTTGCTAAGAATTATCTTAAATTAATAATGACATTATATGACAACAAAGTTTATAAAAAAATAATAATTAATAATGACACTATATGACGACAAAATATATAATAAACTAATAATTAAGTATTATATGGTGAACAAGAATAAGTAAAACTGTTATTTCTCTTATATCAAGAAATATATATATATATATATATATATATATATATATACTAAAAAATCAAATTTATATTAGTATAAATGTGTTAGTCAGATAATATATTAATTATTTTACAAGTTAGCCCTAACATGCTCATGTTCAATATTCTGGCTAAATAACAATGCTGATTAAAAGCGGTAGAAAATGTAACCCCATTGTTTTTTAGACTGAACGCTGATTACAAGAGATGAAAAATAGATGATAATTTTATTGCTTTTTAGACTAAATGAACAGAACATATGAAAATAACTGATTTAATATCTCTGTCCCGTTCATGACACGGAGTACGTACTAATTTGTCAAGAATATTTATACAAGTTATTTTGATGTAGATATTTGGTCCTCATTTTTCGAAAATATTTATACGGGTTGTTTTGATGTAGACAACATAATGGCAACTAATCTCATTTTAATAGGGGGTATAGTCATTTCAAAAGTTTAAAAAGACTTCTTGAAATTTTAAAATCCTAGTATATTCATCAATAATGCTAAGGAGCCAACTGTTGGCTCCATAACGAAACCAACAATTGACTCCTTAGCATTACTGGTATATTCATTTGCAATTTAAAAAGTTAAAAAAAAAAACCCAAGATATTCGTGTCAGATTTTAAAACTTTTAAAAAGTTAGAGTTATTCAAGTTATTTCACGTGAATTTGTATGAACTTATATAAAATTCTGAGATTTCAAATAAAAAATACATAATCTCAAAACAAATCTCTTAAGATTTCAAAAGATTCACTTCTTAAAAATATCAAATTTAGAAAAACATTAAACTGTCGTTAAAATCTTCACTTGTTTATACTAGATTTAATTTGAAAAAGTTGGTTGAGTTATATTTTAGTGAAGTTTTGAGTTTGTATTAAAATAATATTTAAAATAAAATGATTAAAACTAATTTGATGTAAAAGTAAGAGAAAAATGACTCAAAGGGATAAAGAATTACAATTACGAGAGTTATAGAATAGTGAATTAAAATTGATGTGATAGTGAAAATGATTGATTGATATTATTTAATTATATTAATAATATTAAAAAGACTTTTGTTAAATTAAATTTGAATTAAATTTTGAGTAAAAAAGTAATTTGTCAAAACCTAAAAAAGTGATTGCATATTTGGTCACAATTAACCAAAAACCCACTAATAAAAATGGCGACTTTAGTGGTGGCGACCACCGCTGATCCGGCGTCGATCAACCCTGCCAAAGCTCTCCTGGCCATGCCCGGTTGGCAGCCGGGCCCCACTCTGGATGGTGGCATCAGGAGCTTCAAGAACGGCGACGGCCTCCGGTTATTGGAACAGGACAAGTTCATAATCGACGAAGACGATCTCGACCTCAGATGGGAGGCCGCCACCGGCGAGACTGTATCGGAGCTCATTTTTCTTTCTCGACATGTCGCCGTTTCGAATCGTCCAGCACTAACAATTCATCCTATAGGTAAACCCAAATACATCGTGCATTTTATTGTGTGTGTGTGTGGGGTGTGTGTGTGTGTGTGTGTGTTTTTTACGTTCATATCATGGTATAATTTGTTCAGTTTTTTTATTTTAGTTTTTGTTTTGAAAATTCATTATTAGATGATCGATCTGTAGGACCATTCAAGTGTGAAAATAAGGCGATCTTTGCCGTGGAAAATGTCAAATGGTGTGATTGTTGTTGAGAGGATGCCTTTTATTGATATTTTAGGAGCTTCTTTCTATTGGGTAACTTTGTTTGAATGATCGAACTAGTCGATACCTTTTCTTGGATGAAACTTTATGCACCTTGTTATTTGTTTAACTAGATAATTTGGTGGTTTCAAATGTAAGTGAAATAAAATTCCCCATTAGTTCTGTTTGGTGTTGGTAGAATCTGGATCTAAGGGAGTGTATTCAAAAATTTGTGATAGATGTTGTCTAATAGTATTTATGAAAACTGTTGTGATAGATGTTGTCTAATGGTATTTATGAATCTTAACTTATAAGTTTGAATCTAAATGAGTTTAGTTTATATATATATTTTTTTAAATTTAATTTGTTTATAGGGGTACCTCATTTGAAGGATGGAGATGTTGTACCACAAGGAGGAAGGCCAGGCTGGGCTGCTCCACCTTGTCCACGTATTGGGCCGTGGCTTTTGCTGCTGAAAAAAATTGCTGACTCCCACAATTTACTGCCTGAATTTGAGGTTATCTAGTATCAATACTTCAGCCGAGATTCATAATTAACCTTTTTCATTTTTCGTCTCTGTAGCTTGAGCAAAACCGTTAATTTTATTTTAGAATTTGGCTCGACTACATAAAAGTTCAGGTTTCCTTTTGCATTACAAACATTATATATTATTCTTCTCATTTTTTTTTTCTTCCATTTGTTTGTTTAGGAACTACTAATGTGTTCATTTTAATGTTAATCAGAGACAATCTTGATTTTGTTATGTTTGTATTGTTGCGAGAGTTCATTTTTTAGTTGAATTATATGTATATTTGTCAGGTTATAAAACCGTTTATTGGTATCTTTTTTCTTTTTTCATGTTGGATGCAGATAACATTAGAAGCTACTCATCATGGACCTGTAACAACAAAACCAACAATGTTCATTGAGATAGGTAAGATTATGGATTGCGTGATTATGTGTATCTCTATGCGTGTTTCTATGCATATTTGCTATGTTCTTTCTAAATATATACTCAGACTGGTACATAACCACATAATTAATTCATTTAAATATAAAAAGAATTCAAGGTTTTAAATTAAACCTGTTGATTTTCTGATAAAATCATCATTTGGGTCATTTCTAAGGAGTTAATTATGTCTGTTTTACTCTGTCATTGTGCAGACAATATTGAGTCTGTAAATTCTAAACGCTCTCTTTTCATAGTTCAGCCCTTCTGACATTTTATTCTTTTTTGCCTGGATGCCTGTTTGTTGATGTTTGAGTTTATGTTTACAACTCTTGATTCATAAATCTTGTGCAATCATTTTTCCTTTGTCCGACAAAGGTAGCGCGGAGGAATACTGGGGAAGAGAGGATGCTGCTCGTGTGGTGGCTCAAGTTGAGTAAATGCTAATGCCTGTCTAGTGTTAATATTCTTGAGTTCGTTTTGTGCAATATATATTCCATGTCTTCAACTGCAATAACTGAAAACTGCAATTGTTATTCTTGAAGTTAGTTTGGGAAGGCCTTGGTCTCGGGGAAGGTAGTCCAGTTGGAATTTGGAGCAGGTAACCTTCTCTCGAACACTTTTATGTTCCGTTTTTTACTTTTACTCATTTATTTATGTGTGTATGTTGTTGAACTTATGATGCCTACAAATAATCTCTTGGTTTTGTATGTATGTGGCGGAACACTAGTATCATTACTTGCATTCATGTTGCTTATGTACGATAATATTATATTTAGACAAGCTCATTTGTTCTCTTTCCCAGTACAACTGAAAGGAAGAAAGTGCTGCTTGGAATTGGAGGGGGACACTATGTACCTCGACACATGGATATAATTATGTAAGGTGTTTGTTTCAAGTATTGCACTTTTTTTGTTCATGTGAAATATAGGGCCTATTTTTTGAAACCTCAGTTGGTTTGATATGAAACAACTTAATACGTTAGTGGTACTTTCCTGTTTTTTTCTTTTGAATGGTAATTTGTCATAGTGAAAGATATCGGTATTGTAATTAGGATGAATCTTAGTACTTTTTGTAATTTTCTTTCTATTTCTTCATATTTAACGTAATAGATCCTTTTTTTTTTAGCTTGTGTTAAATCTATTTAATTTGAACTATAACAATTATTTTGACTGTTAGATAATTTGAAGTATGATCAATCATCGATCGAGTCGGGTTGTTGTGACTTTTTTTCACATGTTATGTAGTTGATTTTTCTCTCTTTTGTGTAAAAAAAAATTAAAAATAATTGCAGGAAAGGTGGGATTTGGGTTGGGCACCTTCTCTCGGGATATTCTCTGCCAATGGAGGATCCTGGAAAATCGAACGTGAAAGTAACTGCCGAAAGTATTGGAGGGACATGGAAAGAGGCCATTAAAGTTGCTTTTGATGCTACAAAAGCAGCCTTTCCCGGTGGAGAAATTTTGGCACATCTTGATCACAAGTAAGTTTCCCTTTTTTTTCTTTTTCTTTAGTTATATCTCTACAAAAGGTTCTAAATATATGATTATTTCTATAGAATACCATAACTGGATATTCAGGAATCAGGACAGAGTATCAAAATGCATCAAGTGCATTGGTTCTAGTTTCTACAAGCTTATATGCTAACAGAAAACAAGAACAGGGGTTTAATCAATTAAAAAATGATTGTATATTTGTACTTCTTGAAAGATCTCGAATTTTTTGTAAAAGTTAGGGGTGGTTATATAGTTACCTAATGAATGGAGAAAAAACTGCAGAGTTAACAGAATTCTTTCTGATCATGCCAAAGTTCGAACAAAACCTATTCTTTTCTGAATTTGGAATGTTTTTGGCTTTCGGCTTTAGTATTTCATGTAAAACCTACTGGCTTTTGGCTGCAGGAGTTTCAAGGGCTGGCAAAAGAATGCTATTGTAGAATTTTTAGGGACTCAAAGCGTAAAGATCGGCAAGCAGTCGGACTTCTGTTGATAAAATGATATTTTGAAGTTGCATAATTTGATAATTTTCCTGGCAATCATGGCCATATTTAAGACTCAGATTAGTAATTAATTATCCCAGTCATAGGTGCTAGCTGCCAACAAAAAGTTGGACCATTTCCTCTTTTTCCTTTTACCTTTTTAATCCAATTGTAAGACGGAGACTATGTTTGTGATTTTGGGAGAATAATGCATCATAGATTAGGTTGTTTTTTTATTTTGTCTCCCTTTTGTTTTGCATTTTATTTTTGTGTGTGTGAGTGAGTGTGTGTTTAGATGTATAGTTGTAAAAATGTTGGGCTCGTGCTAGCACAAGCCCGTCTGCTCGATGTCATGGGTCGTTCATTTCTATCTAGGTTGTGAACTTAATTATTTATGTTTTACAAATAACCAACAGGTAATCTTCTGTTCATCTGTAATAAAATACAATATCCAAATGTAAAACCTCTGAACTTAAGACAATTTACTTAAACATGATTTACATTCAACAAAAAGTAAAGTAGTGTTTATTACGCAAAAAGTCAAGCTTTAAGTATTCATACTAACAACAAATACATATATGAACTTACCATCCTCAGAGGTTCACATTTACGATGCTTCTTGGATTGGATATACATAACAACTGTAAATGTGATTGACATGTTCATAAGACTCATCTGCTTTGCTTTGGATTTCATCAATAGCTTTGCTATTTGACCTCCATGCCTTCTTATATGACAAGTTTATTCCATACCTCAATTGCATGTCATGTATTATGTCTCTTGGGATAAATTCGCCTTCAGATTTGTAAATTTATTTTGATGCACTGTCTTAGAAGTTGTGCAGTAGCTTGTCGTTCTTCACCTGTGCGTTGATCGAGCGGACATGTATGACTTCCTCCAACACTTCTTATCTTAAACATGTCTATCTGGCTAATGCGGGAAGACTTAACAAACCAAACACATTAATCCACAATGCATTTCACGTAATATAGCCTAGAGCATGATTTTTCAACATAAAATTGGTATTGATGCTTTATTGCGTGCAAATTCAACATTTTCTTCAAAACATCTTTATTTTCAACTGAACGCCCCGCTGCAATATACTCATCGAAAGCCTCTTCATTCCCAAATTGATCCTCACATTTCATTTGAAGTTTATTTTCAGTAATTTTATATTCTTCATCAATTGCTTTTGCAGCTTTCAGTACAATTCTGTGAAATCCATGGAACAAACTTCCTTGCCCTCAAAACTAATTATTGGCATGAATTGGAACGGTCTATATGTTGAATCAATACCTTGAACGAAACGCAAGGACAAACTATGATTTCGTTTAGTGTGCTTGCTGCAACTTAAATTGTCGTATAACTAGGATACCTCATGAAATCAGGATCCCTAAATTTTAGCTCCATGTAGAATTGGAGGTTGCTATCATCGTTGATTCATAAAGTCGCGTATCCTTCTTTGACTTGGTATTTTAGTTCCACTTTTGCGTTTCTATCTTGTACATTTAGCTTATCCAGCACCATATGGCGAAATCACTCAACGTGCACTCTTGTTGAACAATAATACCACCAACTCCATAATTTTTGTAACAATTGTTCTCCCACTCACTATTGTGCTGGATACATTATCATAATCCAAGACATGAAATGTAAATTTCAAATAAAAAACTTGAGTAATTTAAATAAATACTATTTGAAATATTCTTATAAAACACATGATTCGTATAAATTGCGAAAAAAACGAAAAAAATATGCATCTAAGTGCTTTTTCTCAAGGTTGTCAAAACCGGACCGTACCGGTCGGTCCGACCGGTTGAACCGGGAACCGGCCAGTTAACCGGTCCGGTTCTATGAAAGAAACCAACTATCAGTAAAACCTGTCAAAAACCGATCAATGACCGATCGAACCAGTCAAAACCGGCCAAAAACCGGTCGGTTCAACCGGTCAATTTTTTTTTTTGTGGGACAAGATGTAATAATTCTAAATTTTTAATTGTAAAGGTAAAACCACGCGTGGAAGGAATTTCTTGTCTCTTTTACCTGCGCATGGAACGATTTCTTTTCTCATATCTCATATTTATTTCATATTTATTGCCCAATGTGGGAGTGTGAGAAAATATTTCTTTTTTTCCATATTTTTGAACTATCATTTTATTGCTTAATCTATATATGGTGGGACCAACCTTTCAAAAAATAAATCAACTATATTTAATACTTATAAAGTATTATATATTTAAAATATCAATAAATTAAATAATTTAAAAATTAAGTTAACTATATCTATGAAATATTACATAAATTTTAAAATATCAATAAATTAAATAACGGTCCAACCGGTTCAACCACTGGTCGGACCAGTGAACCATTGAACCAGTAGCTTGACCGGTTCGATGACTGGTCCGGTTTTGACAACCTTGTTTTTTCTTCCAATCACAAGCATAATCAAAGAAGACCGCGTTTGTTTCACTTATGAACACGTTCCAAGAGATCACACATGAAGTAAACACATGCAAAATCCAGTCAATGCCACGTCAGAGTAAGAGACCATGCAGAGACATGACCGGTCAACAACAAGCTCTGCCATGTCATCACAAGGAACCTGGATGAAACAGATTTAAAGGATCATGATCACATGCAACGAGGACCGTTAGATTGATATTAGTCATATATATAAATAGATATTACCATATCTGTACCCTAGAGAATTAATGAAGCATGAAAAGAGATGAAACCCTTACATGAATATGGCAGATCCGATTTGATCTTCTGTCTGCGCATCTTTCCTCATTTTTCTCACTTTATCATCATTTCTCATTACTCTAACATGGTATCTAGAGCTGTAATTTTTTCTTAGGATACTCATACCCCCAACATCAGCCACATCCATNTCCACAACATGGCTTCTCACACATCATCAGAAAGCAACATCAACACCATGACCACAAATACCTTTCCTGTCATACACCCACAACATCAACTCATATCCATCAAACTCACAGATTCCAATTACTTGCTATGGATGCAACAAACCTACAGTGCCATTGTTAGATATGGGCTTGAGAACTTCATTGCTGCTGATTCCCTCCCTCCACCGAGGTTTATTTCTTCCAATAGTGAAGATCCACCCACCCTTAACCCATACTTTGCAACTTGGGTAAGACAAGACCAGCTCCTCATGTCTTGGTTACTCTCTTCATTGAGTGAAAATCTTCTTATTATGATGGTTGGCAAGACTACCTCTCGAGAGGTGTGGTTCTCTCTTGAGTCCAACTTCTCTAGCATCTCTAAAGCTAGACTTATGCATCACAAGCTTCAGCTACAAACCCTAAAAAAGGGATCTACCACCATGAGATAATTCTTAGGCAAGGTCAAGGCCTGCTGTGATGCCCTAGGAGTTGCTGGTGAGCCTGTTTCAGACCAAAACCATATCCTCTACATTCTTGCTGGCCTGGGCAGTGAGTATAACCCAGTTGTTGTTTCTGTTACATCAAGGGTTGAGCCCTACTCTCTGAATAAAGTCTATGCTATGTTACTTAGTCTTGAGTCTAGGCTTGACAACACTGTCCATCCTATAGTGAACTTTGAACTTTGATGGCTCCCTTCCTAGTGTCAACCTTGCCTTGAACAACTCATCTACCCAGAGATCTCTCTCCAACTTCCCACCCACTAACAACTCTAGAGGAGCCTACTCTAACCATAGAGGCAGAGGAAGAGCCAACAATTACAGAGGGAAAGGGGGTAGAGGCTACAGACCTCTCCCATGACCTCTCAATTGTAGAGGGAAAGGGGGTAGAGCCAACAATTACTCAGTTATGTGGCCTTAACAATCATACTGGTGATAGATGTTATCACATATATGATAGCTCCTATCCCCCAAATACCAAAATGCAGGCTCAAACAACTCAGACTTAACCTACTGCAAACCTGCCACACACCTTTCCCATGACCTCTCATCTCAATGCCTTAATCACCTCACCTGATCCCAGTTCAGATTCATTGTGGTTTGCAGATTCTGGGGTTTCCAACCATGTCACCAATGAACTCTCAAACCTCAACTTGGCATCAGAATATCAAGGCAACAATAGGCTTCATGTTGGTAATGGATCAAGTATGTGCATTTCACACATTGGCAATTCACATATTCATAATCCTTCTAATCAGTCTAGACCCTTCATTCTCAAAAATCTTTTACATGTCCTTACCATTACCAAAAATCTACTAAGTGTTTCACAATTTGCAAAATCTACAAAGTGTTTCACAATTTTCTCATGATAATTCTGTGTACTTTGTTTTCTATCCAAATCTTTGTTTTGTTAAGGATCAAGCTACACACCAAGTTCTTCTCCAAGGTTCACTTAAGGGAGGACTTTACATCTTTGATCTCCTCAGTTCCACCTCTTCTTCACAATCAAGTCAGAAGCAACAATCACCACCTTTACTTTCTGCAAATGTTGTTACTTTTAATCAAAACAATGATCTAGCTCTTTGGCATTCTAGACTTGGCCATGCTGCCTTTGATGTAGTGTCTAGAGTGATGAGATCTTGTAACCTTTCAGTTTCAATGCATGATAAATTTGTTTGTTGTTCTTGTCAACAAGCTAAATCTCACTCTTTACCTTTCTCTAACTCTAATTCTGTCTACAACCATCCACTTGAACTGGTTCACACTGATGTGTGGGGACACTCACCAATCACATCTACAAATGGCTCTAAGTATTATGTGTGTTTTGTGGACCATTGTACAAAGTACACCTCGATATATTTCTTGAAACTTAAATCTGAAGTCAAATGCTTTTCTGCATTTTAAAAACATGGCTGAAAACCAACTCAATCACAAAATAAAAGCCATACAAAGTGATTGGGAAGGTGAGTTTAGGGCACTTACCTCAGTCTTTAATGACTCTGGCATTAATCACAATTTATCTTGTCCCTACACCCCAGCCCAAAATGGTGTTGCTGAAAGAAGGCACAGGACTATTGTTAAGATGGGCCTTGCACTTTTATACCACTCTCTTGTGCCTCTCCAATACTGGGATGATGCTTTTAGTGCTGCCATTTTCACCCTTAACAGACTACCAATAAAAGCTCTTAAATTCATATCCCCTTTGGAAAAATTGTATGGCCACAAACCAAAGTACTCAACATTCAAAGTATTTGGCTGCCTCTGCTACCCAAACCTCAGACCATATAACACACATAAACTTCAACCCAGGTCACTTCCATCTACTTTCATTGGATTCAGCTCCAAACATAAAGGCTACAAAGTCCTTCTACCTTCTGGAAAAATCATTGTAACCAGAGATATCACATTTGATGAGTCACAATATCCATTCTCTAAAAGTCCAGCCATGCATCCTCCCAATAATGTTACTTCTACCTTCTCACATCAGTCACCACCCATTGTGCATAATCCACAATCTGCATCAACTTCAAATCCACAATCTCCTCAACATAATACACCACACTTACAGACATCTCACCCTTCTTCACAATCACATTCTTCCCATAGTCAGACATCTATTTCATCTCACTCCACTATACAACTACATGTTGAATTGCCAATTGTGAGAGACAATAGTTCACCTGTACCATTTACTACTGACGATAATTTTCCAGTCCATCATATGATTACTAGGTCTAAAATAGGTTCTCTCAAACCAAGAGCCTTTGCTGCACAACTCAATGGGGCAGAACCTTCCTCTTATGTGGATGCAGTCACTTAACCACCTTGGAAAGCAGCCATGGTTTCGAAATACCAGGTTCTTATCAATAACAGGACTTGATCCCTTGTTGCTCCTCTATCCAACAGGTCCATAGTTGGTTGTAAATGGTTGTTCAAGACCAAAAGGCATGTTGATGATACAATTGCCAGATTTAAGGCAAGATTAGTTGCCAAAAGATATAGTCAGTCAGCAGGAATTGACTTCTATGAGACTTTTACCCCAGTAATCAAACCAACTACAATTAGAGTGGTCCTATCCTTGGCTCTCACATATGGCTGGTGTATTAAGCATCTTGACTTCAACAATGCATTCCTTCATGGAGAAATTAGCGAAGACCTCTACATGGCACAACCGCCTGGTTTTGAAGATGTCAATAACCCTCACTTTGTTTGCAAACTTCACAAGTCCATCTATGGCTTAAGGTAGGCACCTAGAGCCTGGTTCAACAAACTAAAACAATCTCTCCTCTCTCTTGGTTTTACACATTCAAAGTCTGACTACTCTTTATGCATTAAGCAAACAAAGTCTGCTTGTGTCTGGCTCCTAGTTTATGTAGATGACATTTTGATTATAGGATCAAATGTGGCTGCCATAGCCACAGTCATTGGTACACTCAAACAACAATTCTCACTAATAGATTTGGGAACAGTGCATCACTTCTTGGGTGTTGAGGTGAATCAGGTATCTTCTGGCATATTTCTCTCACAGAGTCAGTACATCAAGGATTTTCTTCATAAAACAAAGATGTTAGATGCAAAACCACTTCCTACTTCAATGATTTCCTCTTCATCACTCACAAAACATCAAGGCAGTCCTATGGAGAACCCTACTCTATACAGAAGTGTAGTTGGCTCCCTCCAATATGCTTGCATTACTAGACCAGAGATATCCTATAGTGTGAATAAGGTCCCAATTTATGCAATGTCCAATGCACACCCACTGGAAAGCTGTAAAGAGGATTCTTAGATATCTTGCTGGAACTATGTCTTATGGACTGCATTATACTAGAAACACAAGCATGCATATCACTGGGTTTTCAGATTCTGACTGGGCCAATGACCTAGATGATAGGAGATCTACCTCGGGCATCTGCATCTTCCTTAGCAGGAACCCTATTTCATGGTGCTGTAAGAAAAAAAACTCTATATCTCGCTCAAGCACTGAGGATGAGTATAGAAGTTTGGCTCAAGCCTCAACAGAAATTGCATGGATCACATCCCTACTTAAAGAGCTGGATGCACCTTGTTCTCATACCCCAACTGTGTGGGTGGGCAACCTAAGCACTATCTCTCTTTCATCAAACCCGGTCCTTCATGCTCGAACCAAACACATTGAAATAGACCTCCACTTTGTTAGGGACCTCGTTGCTAAAGGCACCCTCAAGGTTCTCCATGTTTCTTCAAAAGATCAAGTTGGTGACATCTTCACCAAACCACTTTCTCAACAAGCCTTCTCTCGCTTCAGAAATTTACTTCAACTACGTCCTGCCACCTCCTTTGGCTTGAGGGGGGATGATAGAACACATGAAGTAGACGCATGCAAAATCTAGTCAATGCCACGTCAGAGTAAGAGACCATGTAGAGACATGACCGGTCAACAACAAGCTCTGCCATGTCATCACAAGGAACCTGGATGAAGCAGATTTAAAGGATCATGATCACATGCAATGAGGACCGTTAGATTGATATTAGTCATATATATAAATAGATATTACCATATATGTACCCTAGAGAATTAATGAAGCATGAAAAGAGATGAAACCCTTACATGAATATGGCAGATCCGATTTGATCTTCTGTCTGCGCATCTTTCCTCATTTTTCTCACTTTATCATCATTTCTCATTACTCTAACAACACACCACCTATTATGGAGGAGTTCACACAACAATGCTTGAATCGGTAGGATTTTGCAGATATGGTATATCTTTTTTTTTTTTCATTATTAATCACATAATCAATAAATATACCATTTTCTAAAGGAATGTATTCAGTTACCTATTATATGCTTTGATTGAAAAGAGAGATTATAAGATAAATACTTGACATATGTAGAAATATATCTTTTTGGTGTAATAAAACTGTAATAGACAAATTCTCTGTGACGCAAGAAACTAATAATGGGTATATGCGTAATTTAGCCCAAAAAAACAACGAGTTACAAACCAAGGTGGGTTCAATAACTTTTCTAAATGGGCTCTGGACCTGTAAGGTGTCTAGGCCGAATCTATGAGCATGTTTGTTTATGAAATTTTTTAAAAAAATTCCAACATTTTAACTAAATCACTTTTTTTAACTCAACTTTAATTTAACCCCACTATCATCAAAATTATCAATATAATTAAATAACATCAATCAATCATTCCTACACACTACATCAACCTTAATTCACTATTCATTCACTCACATTATTTTAACTAACCATCACTTCAAATCTCTCTCTCATACTTTTACATCAAACCAATTTATATTATTTTATTTTAATATACCAACTAACAACTAATCATATCACATTTTTCAAAATTAACCAAACTAAATCAAAAAATTCCAAACAAAAACAAACATTTTTATAAACAAACATGTTCGCCAGTTCAGTGAATTTACGGTATTGCCACTGACAGTGAGCTGACAAGTAACTCTTCCATAGTCGCAGTCGTAACAAGTCCTGAAATTGCCGCCAGTTTCGCAACACCGTCGCCGCCGCCGCCGCCATGGCGGCCCGCCTCCTTTTCCCTAGGAACGCACGTATAAAGACCCTTCTTCTTTTATCTTCCTATTTATACTCCAATCCACCCTCTCTAGGGTTTTTTTCCACCCTCGCCGGAAAATGCAAGCACTTCAACTTCACACCGGCGGGGGATCGGCCACCGGCGGCCAAGAAGGCATCTTTCACGGCCACCGCGCACGGGGTGATGTGGCAGGACCCGTACCGTTGGATGTCCGACGTCAAGGACCCGGATTTCATCAGCTACGTCAAACAAGAAAACTCCTACGCCGAGGCGTTCATGAGGGATACCCAAGAATTGCAGAAGGTTCTTTATTCTGAGATGGTTTCCAGAATACCCTCCACGATTATAACCCCGCCTGAACGCTGGGGACCCTGGTTTGTAACTTCACTAAAAGGGACATTATTTTAATTGATTTTCTATGTATTTCGATGTGCAGCAATTATTATGTAATGTGTGGATTGGATGTTTTTGTGGTACGAATTTGTCTCCCTTCTTTATATATTTGGTCTAAATTAGTCTATGAATTTGTGAAAGTTATCATCTCTTCATAGTGTTTTGCTGCATGTAAGTTTTTGGTTGTACTTATATCTGTCATTTTGAAAAGATCCTTTACCTGCCTATTGGCCTTTTGGTACGAATACAAGCTTCGATCTTGTAAAATGGTGAATTCATAGTAAGTTTGTGCGATTGCTACAAGTCCTATTTCAAGCTGTTATATGTTCTAGAAAATGTACACTTTAATATAATTTTCTTTTATCTATCTATTTTGACATGTGTTAAAATTTCTAGGTTATACTACCAGTTAATTGCGGAGGGGAAAGAGTATCCTGTTTTTTGCAGGAAACCGGCAGCGGAAAGGAAAGGTTGGGTAAACTCCTTATTCAATTCCTTCAGTGGAGTATTGGAAGAGGAACAAGTTTTGCTCGACTGGAATGACATTGCAGAAAAACATGGCAAGTTCGTAGCTAATAATTTCCCACACGTCAGATTTTCATCAGCTATTCAGTGTCATCTTTAACTATTGGTGGCCTTACTCATTCTAAAATGAAATTGATAAAATGTCACCTAACTTAAACTAACTTATATGTCTTTTAAGACTTGTCGTCATCTATATTGCCAATCAACTTAATTCGATTTTTCATTCCATAGTTTTTCCCCTTCTCTATTTTAGGTCGTTTGGACCTATAAGAAAGAAGAATAAAGATTACGTATGAGCATGTAGAAAGTTACTTTTGCTTTTCAAAGTTTGCTATTTATTGACAGGGAAGGTTGCTAAGTTTGACGTACATTTCTAATTTGAGCGCAAGTTAACATACAATTATACGCATTATAATATCAGAATTTACTTTTGCAGGATATGTACATGTGGGCACATGCAGGGTATCACCAGACCACAGATTTCTTGCATATACACTCGACACTAAAGGGAATGAACAATTTAAGCTTCAAATTAAGGACCTTACGAACAACTCCATTTTGCACCAACACAAAGTCGAGGGTGTTGTTAGCTTGGCTTGGGCTCAGGATAGCTGTACACTTTTCTATACTTCATGTGACCAAAATCAACGGCCTTACAGGCACTTCTATAACTTTCTGCATGTTTTTTGTTTTTTCAGTATTGATTGAAAAAACTAAAAGGTTTAGTCTAGTACAAAAATACCCCCTTATCTTCAACACTTACCAATAACTCATTGACATTCCGTAAATGCAAAAATCAAGAAGTTGCTGGTAAAATTGTGAGGGATATTTATAATTCTGAATATATTTTAGTAATCAAGCTGAAGTGCTAAATTTGACATGTAATATTTTTAGCCATCATTTTCTTTATTCTTTTCCTTTTCTTACAATATATACTGATGATATCAGAGTGTTGTGCACCAAACTGGGGTCACAGTCTGAGGACGACACCATAATATTTACAGAGAAAGATTCACGCTTTTCCGTGGATATCACGAGTACGAAAGATGGGAAATTTATTACAGTGAATTCCAGTTCATGGACTTCGTCTGAGGAAGGAACTTACTGTTTCAGTTCTCTGTTTTCTTACCTTTGCATTAATGCAATATTATCTTCTTGTTGGTGTAATTTACACATATCTTGTAATGTGATGCAGGTTTACATAATAGATGCTGCCAACCCGCAAATTGGTCTACAAAGGTTTTGTAAACGTGTATCGGGAGTTCAGTACTTTTTGGAACATCATTCTGGATACTTTTACGCCCTTACTAATGCTGATAAAAGTAACATTAGAAAGTTTTCGGGTAATGGTTATTATTTAACCAGATGCAGAGATGAGAATCCACAAGCAGCTAATTTGAAGGTATTTTACGAGTGTTCAAATTATGGTATTCTATCAGAGTTACTGAAAATTCTTACTATGCATTAAAATTTACTTATTCTCAGGAGTCAATATTCACGATAGGTATTGTTAATATATATTATTGAGCATTTTTCCCTTGTTCTTTTCTCATTTTAAGAATATCATCATGCCTGGGGAAGATATTTGCTTGGAAGATATGGATATTTTTCACAATCACCTCGTCCTATTACTTAACAGAAAGGGTACCCCTTCAATATGTTCCATCAACATGCCTATAGATTTCGAATGTGAGGTACAGACATATTTTTTGTTATCATTTATTATCGTATTGCTCTTATGATAATTATCAATCTGACTATTGTTATCATGTTAGCTTTTTATTGACCATTTGGATTTTCTTGTAGAAAGAAATGGAGATCGATGATCTCGATCCTTGGTATTTTCCTTTGCCCTCAGACATGTGTACAGTCATCACGCCAGGTTCAAATCACGATTTCATGACCACCAAATACCGTGCTGTTCTCTCGTCACCTGTGGTACCATTGCAGTTCATATCCCATGATATATTATTTGACATAAGACTAATACATTGGCATATTTATAATCGGAAATACTTATAGAATGTTGCAATTAATTCATGTTGAACAAATAAAGCTTTTGCAGGTTATTAAGGAAGTGTTTTCAATCATTATAAGAACAATGATTATAAGTTTCTAGCTTAAAAAGGAAATATTCAACTGTTTCTAGCTTAAAAGATGACAAACCTATTCATTGGACACTCTCTTTTAGTTAAGCAGGTTAATTTTTGTAATTATCCCTTGAAATTAATCCCACCAAATTCTCAACTGTTTTAATACAGCTACAATAACTGAGAGGGACCCTTTTTTGCACCCCTAATTGTTTGGCCCAAAGCATTTAATTTTAAAGTGCGTAAAAGGACTGCTTTTAAGGTCTTGTTTGAAAATGGGAAAAAAAAAAGTCTGATTAAATATTTCCCTTGATTTTGCTGTGTAGACACCTGATCTCCATGTCGACTATGACATGTCAAACAAAATGTTCTCCATCATACAACAGGAAGGTGTTGAAAATATCTCAACAGGTGATGTTGAGAACAAAACATACGTTCAGCATAATGAATGCCCTGCATGGAAAGATTTCTCGGCCAAATATATTTGTGAGGAGAAGGAAGTGATTTCTCATGACGGGGTCAAAGTCCTGTTGACTGTATTTTTCTCGAGAAGTGCATATCAGAAGGGTTTTTCTCCAGGGCTTCTTCATGGTTACGGTGCCTATGGTGAAACTTTGGATAGAAGCTGGTGCACAGAACGTTTGAGTTTGCTTGATCGAGGATGGATGTTTGCTTTTGCGGATGTGAGGTATATTCCGAGTCATCATATTCTATTTTTAGTAATTTTTCAAAATTGCGAATTGTATAAAGTAAACCTTACATATGTTGTGAAGTTGTTTTAGAGAATATTCTGTATTTGGAAAGGATTTGGTTTTAAAAGAAGCCTTTCATTCTAATTTGTGAACACAACATTTTCTAACACTTAATAATAGCATTTTATATACAACAATGCATTTTATTGACAAAAAAGCCCCTGAGCTATGCTCCCAAAATTCGATCAACCTGGTAACTTAATTGGTCAGTCTCAAAATGTGGTGTTATAAAAGTGGCCAAGAGTCCATAATCTGGGACATGCAAAGGACGAAAATTTATTTTCCAGTCTCTTTAGGAATTAATCATTGTTATAGTTTTATTTTTTCCATTGTTTTCTTGCAAAGAGTCCATTTAGGAATTATTTTCCAGTCTATTAGTTTTGGTGCATAACTCGGAAGTTAATTTTGGTGACGTGAGAATTTCTCGGTTCAGAGGTGGTGCTGGTGCCGATCCTTCTTGGCATGAATCAGGTCGTGGGTTGAACAAGTTAAACTCCATATATGATTTCTTATCATGTGGCGAATATCTGATAAATGAGGGCTTTATTCATAAAAACCGGTTGTGTGCTTTGGGGATTAGTGCTGGATGTCTTCTTGTGGGGGCTTCCATCAATATGAACCCGAATTTGTTTCGTGCTGCCATTTTGAAGGTACACCACACTAAGACTATGGTTGTGTTTGGTAAGCATATAAGCTACTTATAGCTTATTTGATTAGCTTATAAGCTTCTTATATTAAAATCAGCTAGGTTTGATAGGACGAGCTTTTTTAAAAAGCTCGAACTTATTTCATAAACTTCCTTGGGTAATTTTTCAAATAAGCCCTTATCAATTAATTTTACCAAACACTTTTATCATATAAGCTATTTTTCAGCCATAAGTCATAAGCTGTCATTCGAAGTTTTGAATTTTAACTTTTTTCTGCAATAGTTTCCCTCTCTAAGTGCACTAGACAATTGGTTGTTGTGTTTTTCGTGATAGGTTCCTTTTCTAGATGTGCTCAACACACTATTGGATTCGAGTTTACCTCTTACCACATCGGATTATGAAGAATTCGGGAATCCTCAAAATGAGTTGTTCTTCAACTATATTCGGAAGTACTCTCCTTATGATAATATTCCACAGGGAGTTTGCTTTCCTTCAATGCTTGTGTCCGCATCATTCAATGATTCCCGGTAAAAAAAAATCTAACTACGCTAATTTACCCTGAGGTTTACTGTAATTACAAAATATCTAACTTCAATTATTTTTTTTTTAAGATTGCAAAATATTTTGTTTATATTGCTAATTGCTATTGCTACATTTTTGTTTGTTAGTGTTGGGATCTGGGAAGCTGCAAAATGGGTTGCCAAGATTCGAGACACGACATGCTCAAGATGTTCATCTGCTGTAATCTTGCAGACGAATCTAAACGGAGGGCATTTTGGGGAAGGTGGCCGCTTTGCACATTGTGTGGAAACAGCTTATGATTATGCATTTCTCATTAAAACCACTATAGAGCCAACTGAGGAAAGCGCCTGAGCTGTGTAAACAATTGCATTCTGCATTGATTCAAAATGCTACCAATTATTGATTTTAATTATAGTAGCTTGCTTCATTTATTTTCTTTTCTTTGGTGTATTGTTTCTTATGAAATGAACTGCTGCTAATGTTTGTTTGAAAATTAACTACTACAGTTGCAATACTCGTGTAGCGTTAATTAGAATAGTTTATTAAAGAGTTTTAGAGAATAATAGTATATTATCTAAAGTTTTTAAATATTTCAAAAAGAAAAAGAATGCATTTTCTTATATAAGTAATATGTAGTACAAAGATAATTTGATATATCGTTTATAAATATTAGATAACGGATAAAAAAATTATTAAGTTTTACAATAATATTGATTATATGTCTTATAACTTTTAAAGGTGCATGGATAAAAGTTTGTATTTACATGGACTACCAAGATATCTATATAAGGATTATGAAGCACCACAATGACATACAATTCCCAGTCACCAAAGTTGACAGTTTCAATTTGAGAAAGGGTGTTGCTAAATACCGCACCTATTTTGCTAAATACCGCACCCCTAACTGATAAATTTGCCCTTTTTTTTAAAAGAAAAAGAAAAAAATTCTGAAATTTGTAAAAACGCACCCCCACCCCACCCCACCCCCTCTCTCATTGGACATTCAATACCATCTTCACTCAACATCATCTTCCACATAAAAAAAAAAAAAAAAAAACTTTAAAAAGATCCACTATTCGTAATAAATCCGAAAAAATCCGGAAAAATGGCGGGACAATCCTCACGCACCGGACAAGGGGTCTCCAACTCACAAGTATTTTTNTTTACCCCTTTCTAATGAGAAATCAAATGTGTATTTGTAGTCCAGAGTGAATCTAAGCATGACTTTCTCTTTCTTTCAGAACCTCTAGCTCTTTCTATTGATTACTACTCATGTCAGAACAATAATTATAGAGTTATATAATTTATAATAATTATAGTAATTATTAATACAATATTTTTATAGTAATATAATAGTTAGAATTGTACTAGTATTTATACTAATTACTATATTAGTATATATTAGTGTATAAAAAATTATATTAGTAATTAGTGTAATTACTATAAAGTATAATACAAAAACTTATATTAGTATAAATTAATAGTTAGTATATATTATACATTTTAGAATAGTAATTAGTATGATTATTATAACTTATAATAGTAATTACTAATATATAATATAATTATACTAATATAACTAATATAATTTATTATAAGTAATATAATTCATATAAATTATATTATAAGTGCCCACGCTACGTTGAAGCGGTGGTTGAACACATCGACCTGTTCGCTCGACACGGTGTGGGAGAAGATTCACAAGGAGGTTGAGTCTCAAATGACTCAAGTCAGGTATATTCCTTAGGTTATACATATTTACTGTGTTATTATTACGTTATTTATTTGGTTCTAATGTTATGTAATGTATTACCAGGGTCACGCTGGAGTCTTCGAGACTTAACATGCATACGAGTTACAAGGAACCCATTTTCGCGCCGTTGAGATTGCGGGTCTCGCATTACTGTATGGATTTATTGAATTATGAGCTTAAGAGGATGCGAGAGTTGAGCGAAGAAGTTGCCGATCGCTGCGGATGTGTACTCTGGTACACTCATGGACTTCCTTGTGCCTGTGAGCTAAGGAAGACACTCACTATAGATATGGAAATTACTACCCAATTCATCCACAGGTTCTGGTGCACACTAGAGCTGACCGACCCAGGTGCAATTACGAGATTGATTAATTTATAGAACTTATCCTAACACTATGTACAGAATATAGAGTGTGTTGTTTAATTTTATAAATTATTTTTGCGGACAGGTCAACAGAGTGCATCGGCGAGCGGATGGACTGATCGTGACTATTTTTATCGGCTTGCCGCGGAGCTTGAAGCGGCCGATCCCGCGACGCTGCGGTACGTGAATCAGTTCATCGACTCTCAACTTCACCTCGACCAACAAGGTTACAAAGAACCTGAAGTGAAGGATAATCCGAGAGGTCGGCCCAAGAAGCCCAATTCAACAAAGCGCGATCTATCGAAATGGGAGTACAGTCAAAGACGCCGTAAAAGCACTTCCTCGTGTGCTCTATTGCAATCGGAGTACACCAAAACAGGTCGCCGGGTGGGGCGTAAAAGCACTTCTTCATGTGCTCCATCGGTATGGGATTACAGGGAAAGAGGTCGTTCGGTGTGGCGTAACAGCAGTTCTTCGTGTGCACCGACAAGCTCGTCTTCTCAACATTCAGATGAGCCGACAGGTGATTTTTGTTTTCTTATTTATTTGTTTATGTTGAACAATAACTAATTATGTTTGTAAGTTCGATTATCTAATTTGTGACGTGAATTTATTATGATATTACAGATACTTTCTCGACGGTTTTCTACGAATATCCGCATTATTGGAGAATTCCCTACGTAATTCACCCTTACGTAGAGAGCTATCTGGATGTGACGCCGGATGGGAACTGCGGATTTCGGGTGGTTGCGAGTTACATGTACAGGAACCAGTTGAGGTGGCCAGTGGTAAGAAGGAACATTACAAATGAGATTGCAGCCAACAGACAGTTGTACGATCCTGTGATTTACTATGAAACCGACAGAGCACTCGATCGGATAAGATGGTACGGGGGGCCTTGTAGCGAGGAGCATTGGATGGAAGTTGTAGGCGACTTCTTTGCTATTGCTACACTATTTAATGTACTTGTCGTGTTGTTAGGCAGTGGTGACAAAAATGACAATATCGAATTCAATAGCATGACATTTTTGCCGTTGCGCGCACCATCCACGGCTACAAGACCTGACCGCGAGATCGCCATAGGTCATCTTGGTTCTTACAAACACTTCATTCATCTGAATCTGTCATCTGATTGTCCATTACCACCTATGTGTAACCTTTGGCGGACATTCCGAGATGTGACGGTTGCAGGATGGGATGAGCAGTATCAGACAAGGATCGAGTATTGGCGGCATATTCGTAGAGGACCTGGAGTTTGATATATTATGATATTCGACTTATGTTTGTTGCGATTGATGACATTCATTATATTAATCTGCATTATGATCGATATATTGTGATATTTGACTGTGTTTACTATTTCACGTGATATTATGGAATTTTTGGGTAATGTGGAATAACATTTGAAAATAGATGAAAATAAAATGAAGCAACAACAAGTAAAATAAAAAAGAAAAAGAAAAAAAAAAAACAATTCAAATAACATTCAATCGTACAACAAAATCCAAAATAAAATAAAAAAAATATTTATTAGATCAACGCTGCGCCCTTTCCCAATCCGCCTTAATTAGGGCCAGCGTATCTGCATGACTCGCCGCCACAGCAGGATCAACAATCTCGAAATCCCGCAGGAGGTCTGATGATGCGGAAAATAACCGATTCACCCACTACACATAAAAGCAGAAGTAAAAATATTATCACATATATATTAAAAAACGACTTACTATTGTAATGAAAGCACAATAACTAAAATTTCGTAAACGACTTACATAATCGGTGTTGGCGCGCGAAGGGACGGCGGCGTCGTCCGGCAGACTGTCAGGCAAGAGTCTAGGATGAGAAAACTGATCATACCATTGCTGGCACTGCTCATGGGCCTCCCCTGGATCATCTGCGGTGGTCGGAGTAATGAGTCAAGTTTATAGAATGCAGCTGCGGGAACTTGTCCCAGTGATCCACTGCAGTAGTATTCGCATGCTCAACCCTGTACAACCTACAGTTCCAGGCACGGACTGCCTTAAGCGGATGATCTATGCGGGGAGGGACAGTCTGCACGTAGCCCAACTTTCCGCACCTTGTCCATCATCTCGTGCAGGAGTTTGGGACTGACCCTGTTACCACTCTTGTCCACAAACAAGGTGGTAGCGAGCAGCACCCACAACCAGCCAATAGCCACATGCTCAGCCGACCGAGCTGCGCCGTTCTTTATCAATGCATCAAAAACGGCTTGATTTTTCACAGACCCGTGATCCCAAAGACGCGTCATCAGATGACTCTGGTCCACCCCGAGGATCTCCATGCAGTTCGCCTGGCAGGTCAGGCCGTCGGGGTCCCCACTCACAATCGTTGCATCCACAGGAACACCCAAAATGGCCCTCACGTCGTGCAGCATGATACTCATTTCACCAAAAGACAAGTGAAACGAGTTGGTATCCGGCTGCCAGCACTCCACAAATGCAGAAATAAGTGGAGTGTCGACGTGAGTATGCATGCTGGACGCCAAATGTGACAGCCCAGTCTGAACGATCATATCACGCGCATCCTGGACCATCATTCCGAGCCAGCCCCTCAATTCACCGTGCGCTCCCTGCCTGTTTTGGCATTTCAGCATGCCTCTGAGCTCTCCAGTCCACATACGGGAGGCTACGTGCCCTAGTCAGCTGATCTACCCTCCGACTCTAGCAGGGTTTTCTAGAAAACTAGGGATAACACTCCCGTCAACGGGGCCATCGGGCACTGGGGCTGTAACGATCTAGGGGCCATTCTTCGGCCATTTGCTACTCGCACCTGTATTAGAATAGAACAATCAATATATATACGACATATTGTGACTGACCGTATCAATTATTTAATAAAAAAACATATAATGGTAAACAACAATAAATACGTAAATCATTTACCTGAGGAAGATCCAGCGCCCACAAAACGACCCTCATCCTGTCGTGGAGGATTAACTCGACCGAGTCTTTTACCTGCACCGGCTGCAGGTGCAGGACCCTGTGGTCGCTCTGGCTGTGCCTGTGGGTCAGGAGATACAATGTCCTGCTCAGCTGCCGTAGAGTCAGAGTCATATGTCTCGTCATCACCATCACCACCATCATCATCATCATCATCATTCGCCGGAGTTCTGACTGCCGACTCAGAAGAATAACCCTGCGACCGAGTGATACGGATCCGAGGGAGACGTCTCGAACTGAGAGGCATGAGTGAGACGGAATGCTGACCACTCTGTATCAGAGGGGGACGTCCCAAACTGGCAGGTACGAGTGGCCCAGACTGCTGATCACTCTGTATCGGACGAACGAGACCTCCCGAACTGCCAGCCATGACTGAGCCGGACTGCTGACCGAACTGCTGACCACTCTGTATCGACCCTGCAGCAGCTGATTTATAGTTAGGAGTGAACGTCTTAGGCTTGAACCCGGCCAACGGCCGTAGAACCGTCCGCGCTTTGCGGCCAAAAGCGGT